AAACAAAAGACTAAAATGCCCCTTGGGCTACAATAGAGACCAAATACCCATAAGGGTAAAAACGGAAAAATTGAAAAATAAAATAAACTACTACATAACATGACTAAAAATTAAAACTCCTGATCGTGGCCGTCGATCTCCGGTGTCTCGGATGATACACGTGTCGAAATCGCTGACGATGCCCTCATCAGTGTGTTAGGACATGTGTAAGGTTAGGTGGGTAGTTGGAAGAATATATAACTTGCTATAACTGGAAAAAATTGTTATAGTTCCTGTCTTTAGAAGGTTTGGGCTTGCGGGAATATTTGTTATGTTGAATGTCCCTTTTGTTCTTGGACAGTGGTTAAGTGTATGGACATTCGGGAATTGGGATGTTGAGCATGGTAGCATGAACATGAATTCAGAAGCATGGATATTCATGATGTCACACTTTGATGAAGGGATGAAAGGGGCTGGGGTGCAGTAGAGAAGGTTTTTGGTGGAGCAAAACTTTGTTTAGTCAACTGGATCATTATGGTTTTAAGAGGGTGGTTGAGAGCATGATATATGGGGGAAGAATAATGTAGTGATGAGTTTAAATTAGGGAGATTGAAGATCGTGAGCACTTGGTATCATGAATAAAGAAGGAGAAGAAATTTCAAATGCTGCAAATTTTTTTCAGAGTTGCATGTTGGTTTTGAGAGAAGTGTATCTGTTTTTTTCAATTCAGTTTCTGTTAGGTATGTTTTATAACATAACTGTTCTGTCATATTGATTGTGGTCACTCTGTAATTGAGTTCCCCTTGAACAGCATGTTCAATGGATTGTTTTTCTGAAGATATTTATTAAATTTATTTTAGCTTCAAAAAGGCATGTCACGAGTCGTGCTATGGTGGAATCTTTTTTTTTTAAATGATGAACTACTATTGTGCTAAGTTATATCTTGCATTTTTTAAGCTTATTTATGTGCATAAATAGTCACTCACAAGCATCTCTTGTAATTACATAAATGTCCGTGTATTGGCCTAAATATCACTTTGCTCTCAGTTTTTCCAAACTGCTGACCACGTCTCCGTCACTGGATTTCTCTTCTTCCTTGTTCACTTGGATAAGAAGGAAGAAACCTTGAGATAAAATATATTAGATTTGCAAGATTAATACTGGGTAGTTGTTCAACTCTAATTTTTTATTTTTTTTACTGCCTTACTATGATCATTAGTTCAAGAAGGTCGATTCTTTTTAAATCTTTCGTATAAGGGAGTTGCATCAATTCTTGGGGTGTCAAAAATTGACCCGACCTGCCAACCTAACCTTGACCCGACTCAAAAACTCTGGGTTCAAGTTGACCCGTTTAACAAAATGATGCAGGACTAAGCAAAATAAGTCATACAAATAGAGATTTATGCTAAGATAAAATCAAAGAAAACAAAATAAATTTCATAAAACATTAAGAACAATATGAAAATTTGAATTATTAAATTATGTGATAGCAAGAAGCTAACAAGTGAAGGCTAAACAATAACAAAAGGTGAATCAATTTAGACTAGCTAATATGGATTGGCACAAGTCTAACATATAATTAAGGAACTAGTCACTAGAGTTTATGTTTGCTCATATTTAGGTAGAACTTGGCGGATTAATCAATGTATATAAGATGATGCTACTATAGATGAAATAAAAAGACCAATATTTTGTTAGATGGAGAACAAGGGAAGGGTTTGATACTTAGCTCATGAATGGGAGGAATGGAGTTCTTGATGAAATGATGGCTAGTTCCTCCTTGGTTTACCCTTGAAACCCATGCTCTTTGTTGATTCAATGTCCTTATTGCATTAGTAGAAGCTAAGTTTCCTTTGAGAGGTAGAATAGTGAGGAGGGAAAAGAAAGTTTCAGCTATATGAGGATTTGGAAGTGGAGAGTTCACGGATTTGGGATTTGGAGCGGTGAACTTGGTCGGCTGCATGGGGAGGAGGGGAGAGATGATTTGTCTGATTTTAATGACTTGGAAAGGGAGAAGTCAGCTTGGGAAGTGAAGAGTTTGGAGCTGGCTTCTTGGAGAAGAGATAGGGCTGATTTGGTTTTTTGGGAAGGGAATTATTTGGCTTGGGAAATTAAAAGTTAGCTTGGGAGGTCAAGAGGTGGGGCTGATTTCTTGGGAAAGACAGAGGGATGATGTGGCTTGCTTGGGAAGGGAATTAGTTTACTTGGGAAAGGGAAAAGTTAGCTTGGGAGGTGAAAATGTGGGGCTAGTTGCTTGGGGATGAGGGAGGACTGATGTGGCTTGCTTGGTAAGGAAAAGAGTTAAAGCGGATGTGAATCTCCAATGGTCATGATTAATTGAGATAAACACTCAATTAATGTGAATTAATTGCAGAATTTGGGTAGCTCAATGGTTAAAGGTGTTTGTGATAAGATGATGGTGGATA